CCTTCCTTCCTTCCTTCCTTTCTTTCTTTCTTTTCTCTCCTCCTCTTCTCCTTTCTCTTTGCGCTCGTTTTTCCCTTGTCTCGGTTTTCTCGCGAAAAAGTCGGGTTTGACGTTGGGAGACAGATTCGTAGTTGAGACGTTCCCCGGTGCTAACCGCAGGTATACGCTCGCTTACCCTCGACTCGGGTAAAAATTCGACCGGCTCGGAAGTTGCGCGCGTACCTCTACGCGAGAAACTCGGTTAAGTGGATACAGTCGTAGCCTGTTAAACGGTGAGTTTCACCACGGGTGACGAATTTGAAAGGGGACGGTGACACCTCGGAGCATCCGCAACCGCCTTAAAAACATTCGAATGCCAAAGCAAACGGGGGGTCCAGGACAGCTCGTTCCTGCGGTTCGTTCCGAGACTCCTCGAGCACGCTGCGTCTTTTCAGCTACCTGAAGAAGAGAAGGAAGAAGGAGAGGAGGAAAGAGACGGGTCTTCATATTTTATACGGGACGGGATCCTTTATGCGGTCGACTACGGGGGCACCCAGCGTGTCGAATAGAATTCAGGAGGCCGGTACACGATAGGTATTTTGACATGCCCGAGAAATTAGTATAATAAAGGGGGGCTAGGTAGACCGGCTAAGTGCCTAAACACACGCCGTAAATCTCCCCTCGGTGCTCTCGAAGATCCGAGCAACGCGGTAAAACATGCTCTCCGCGATCTCGGACACCGACCGTGTCCGGATCCTTCGACGTTTGATCGATCGAGATCCATCCACTGCGTGTGTCTCTAACCGTCTTTATCGCCACTTTTCTTCTTTCCCCTTGTCACCGTTCCCCTCTGCCCCTTTCCGTCCTTTTCGTCCTTTTCGTCCTTTTCGTCGTTTTCGTCTGAACCGTAGGGGAGGAAAATTTACGAAAATCTCTCGCGGGTTAACGACGATCGAGAAAATGGAAGAGAGGATTACGCGTTGCAACTTTCCTTCAGCCGCTAAACGGTTAAATAAATTCTCACCGCGAGCAATCGCGATGCAACGTTGTATCTGGAAAGTCGACCCAACGCCGGAATACGCCTCTATTAGCAATCGCTGTAGATACGTATATCGCGACGCCTGGGCCAACGTCAATGGCGTAATCTCTACGCGATCCAACGAATTTTCCAACTTTCCTACGATTCCGAAAATTCCTACGAAAGAACGAAACCGTTGTTACGCGTCGTTTCGAGGATATACGCGCGAAAAGAATCGTCAGCGTTATCTCGTTTTTCCCACGCAATCCCGCGTTTCCGGCAGTTGGTTAGTCCTAGTCGATTCTCTCGTGGAAACGGAGAAAGGAGGAGAGAGTGGAAGAGAAGCAAGAAGAGCGTAGGAAATTGGCTGTTTACTCGTTGCAATAACGCGTTTGACCGATCAGCGAAGGAAAGACGAGCAAGGTGGACGAGGGCTCGTCCTACGCCAATGTATGTACAGCCGTGGTACATACGTAGATACGTACAAACGCCGGCCATCCGGTGCACGAGGGGTCGATCGATCTCTCTTTCGTCGTTGCGCGACCACCGTGCCGCTGCCACGCCGCTCCGAGATACCTCCGCGATCGGTGCTAGCGATGGTGGTGGAGGTGGAGGTGGCGGAGGCGGAGGAGGAGGAGGAGTAGCAAGCAGAGGAGGAGGAGGATGAGGAGGTGGTGGTAGCGGTGGTGGTGGTGACGGTGATGGTGGTGACGGTGTCGGCGATGTCGGCAGCGACGGCAGCAGCAGCAGCACGAGCAGCAGCACCGGAGGCAGCAGCAGCAGCAGCAGCAGCAGCACCAGCACCATCAGCAGCGGCAACGGCAGCGGTGACGGCGGCGGCGGCGACGGTGGCGGCGGTGGCGACATGCAGTAGTGGTGGTAGTGGTAGTGGTGGTGGTGGTGGTGGTGGTGGTGGTGGTGGTAGTGGTGGTGGTGATGGTAGCGACGACGATGGTCGAAGGTATCGGCGGTGGTCGTGTCGGTGGTTAACGAAGGCGTGGCCTGGAACGAGGCGCCTCCGGTGCGCACCGCCCTTGTCTCGTGTTCCTACGTATCGTAGGTTCCCGTGTTTGCTCGACTCTGTACTGTCACGTGACCGGCGCTCGTTCCCTCGAGTTTAGGCGACCGCCTCGACGGCTCGAGGAAAGCCCGATAGGTAACGCCCAATAGGGGAGCCGTAGGACGCGGCCGCCGCTTTCCCTCTCTGTCGGTCGCATCGGGTCGGTTCGGTGTCGTTATCGGGGCTTCGCGCGAGCGGCCAGGCCCGAGCGTCGTTGCCGTGGGTAGGTTGGTGGGGCGAGCGGTGCGCGTGGGAGGAGGAGCGGTGGCCCAGTGGAGTCCGGGAAGTCGAGCAGCGCAGACGCGTTCGTTCGTTCTGCACCGCGTCGATCCTCGTCGTAGGTTTACCTTTCGAGCAGCATCCTCTCGCTAACGCCTCCGACCGATCGCGCGGACCACGCTTCGCGTTCTCGCGATTCCTCGCGCGAATCGTACCATTTGTCTTCGCCGTTTACGTCGTCGTTGTCTCGCGGATCGACTCGCTTTCCCTCGTTTCTCGATCGATCGCCGCGATCTCGTTTTCGCATCGCAGAGGAAAGTCGATGGAAAACGTGCAGGTGCGAGTGGTCGTTGATCGTCGCGTTATCGTCGACGGTATCGAACTGGTCCAGCTGGGACCGCGAGAGCCAGCCAACTGACCGACCACCGGAAACGGAGTAATTTCGACGCCTATTTTCGCGAGTGAGGCCTGTGATAACCTTGCATCGTACGCGTTCTACCGGGAGCTGAACAAAGTGATTTACGTTCCAGTAAAAGCGGACAGAGACACGCAGAGAGAGAGATAGAGAAAGAGAGAGAAAGAGAGAGAGAGCGTGAGAGAGGGAGAAAGAAAGAGGAGGAGAGCGAGAGAGAAAGGGTGAGAGAGGGGGAGAGAGAGAAAGAGAGAGAAGGAGAGGGAGACGAGTTAAACGAGAAGTAAAAGCAGCACGGACACGAGGGAGAACGAGAAGAACGAGGGAAAAATCGGAATCAAAGTGTCGTCGGCCGAGAAGGGATGCCTACAAAGGGGGAAAGGGGAAAAGCGACGGACTTCAGCATCGCGGCCATCATGGCGCCCAGGGGTCCGTCCTTCGGGCATTACCACCTGCAGGGCATTGGCAACGCCGCCGCTACCGCTAATACCAGCTTGGAATGTCCAACTGGCAAAGCATTTGTCGCCAATTCTGCTCTCGATCACCGTGAGTTTTCCACGATTTTCCAAAATTTCCCGCTCGGTCGCGTAACTCGACCACCCCCCGTTGCAATTTTATTTTTCGCCACCCGATTTTACCCGATCCCCCGTTCGTTCGTCCGACGAGAGACGCGACGAGATACGTCGCGCGAACGTAACGTACGCGTTTCTCCTTCCAAGGGGAACTAGAGGTTTCTCGTTCCACGAATTCCGCGTTTGTCTTCATCGACGGACGGTGAAGCCGGAAATTGGTCCACAAAGCCGGTCGGGTCGTCGCGTGCGCGATTAGAACGATATTTTATCGGGAAGCGTAGAGTCGCGCGACGAAATGGTCGCGTACGCGAGGATACGCGCAGAGCCGTTTTCTATCCGACGGTGTGCGAGGCTCGTGCTCCGACGAACGTCGATGTCGTTGCCAGAACGTTCTCGCGCGAATCGTACGCTGATCGAGACGAGAAACGGACGAAAACGACGCATCCTCGCAGTGTTTCGTCTCGGGTTCCACGGGAATCTCTGGGTTCTATCGGCAAAACCGATAATCGGAGCGCTACGCCAGGAAAAGCGAATTTTCCGCGTTGGTACGATCGTCCCGATGGCGTAATTTTACCGTTCGAGGTGATAGGAAAGTTTGGTCGTTGGTGTGTCTGTAGTCGGAGCCGAGCGTCGCTCGGAATCCATTAGTCGAGGCGTTGACTACCTTCCGTCCGTTTAATTACGATTTCGTGATCTATCGGAGGCGTGAAAATAGAATGTCGAGTGTCGGATCGAAGAGGGTTATTTGGCGGGTCGGATGATAATTAGCGTGCGAAATGGGAGCACTGCCGAGCAGAAAATAAGCGACTAATTGTTGCCAACGGATCGGGCGCGTAAATTTTACCTGTTCGCGGGAAAATTAACGATCTGTGCGGCTATCTTTGCACCGATGCCGATGATGGTAAAAGCGGTGCGTACGATTGCCGAGGTTTTCTTCGAATTTCGCGTCGTTAAGAAAACGGCGATAATAATTATTTACTCGGAAGCGATAAGCCAAGTTGGCACCGCGGACGAGGGGGAAAGGAAATTATCGGTTTGGACGTTGGATTCGCGTTAATTTTCAAACGAAAAAGTAGCATTCGCGGACGAACGATTTTTCTACGCAGGGAACGTAAATTGCTCCTGTTTTTGTCTTCGGGAACTCGTCCGGTGCTTTCAGCCGGTAATCACATTAGCACCGTTAACGACGCCATTACAGCTCCCGTAGCAATCTAGAGATTCTTAATCGTTCCCAAGAACAAGTTTTGCCACATAGAGTGGGCGAGGTGGAAAACATTAAATACGAACTGCAATTAGATTCATAGGATTCCTATTGCCGCCATCTGTAATCATTGTTTCGCGAATACGTTGTATCTCGCAGTGCTACTGGATAATAGAGAAAAAAATTTGCATTAATAATACGGCGATGTAAAAGCGTGTGTGCCGTAAAGCGGCAACGCGAAATCGATTCAGGCTCGCGGCAATGTTGGCGTGTTCGCTACCCAAGGGATATTTCAACGACTTAATAATGAAATTCGCCCAACGATAAACGTTAATGCCGGTTAATGGCGCTCGAATCCCCATCCAAGTTGCCGTTCGATTCGACGCTCGAGTTATCTCCTTGCTCTCTTTCCTCCTCTCTCGTATTCCTCGGTTTAGTCGTAGCAGCCAGGAATCTAGAAGGAAGCGCGTCAACTCGTGTAACGCGATCGTTATTCGGCTCGGTTCCGTCGATCCTTTTGAACAACGTCCTTCGAACGGCTGGGTGGTGACAGGATTCTGGGTGGTCGACTGTCGGTCGTGGCAAAAGGAAGCTGACGTCAGTAGCTCGGTCATATTTCTTCTTGCCTTAAGATCATGGAACATGGGACCACCTCTTGGCACACTACGGTCAGAGCTTTAACTCCTTCCGTTGCCCGGAAAGCTTCCGGCAAGGCATGCGCCCTCACGGATCTCCCTTTGTGCTCCAAAAATCTCGCCATCCCTTTCGATCCTCCACTTTGTTCCGTCTTTTCTCCCATCTGCGACCTTGCGTCGCCAATATTCCCCATTCGTCCGACGTGACTCGAAATGCACGTTAACGGCGTATCGTCGCAACGCGTCGCGTGTCGTTATACAACGTTATTAATGCACATCGCGACACGGCCTGCGAACGTAGCAGCTCGTTATTGCGTCCGTTTGATCGCGTACCCGGCCATTAGAGTCGCGATTCACGCTCCTCGCGACCACGCCGCTCCGCTCCTCGTGCTTTCCTAGATTCGAACGTCGTGGTTCGAACGCCCTGGTCGCGCGTTAACGACGTCCACCATCCATCCACGATCCCTCCGTTTGTGTCCACTCGGAAACAAAAGGGGTGAACCAGGGAATAAGGGATTGCTCTCGCTACCGTGTGCGCGCGCTCGTGTGTGTGTGTGTGTGTGTGTACGAAAGAGCGAAATGGAGAGAGAGAGAGAGAGAGAGAGAGAGAGAGGAGGAGGAGGAGGAGGAGAGGCGAAGGAGAACAGGAATTCGAGATGAAAACCGCGAATGCGTGATGTCGTGAAAGAACGTCGAGGTCGGAACGCACGCAACACGCACGGTTGAGGTGTTAATTTTAACACCAGGCTTTCCCCGATGGTCGCCGTTGTCGAGCCGACCGGCTGTTTCGAAGCGACGCACGCGTTTCACGAAACCAGTCCCGCTCGCGATGGCTCAATAAGGAAATTGTGGAATTTTGTCGTCTGTTACGCGCGAACCGTCTATACGGATGCCTCGAGACCGGCCGAGTACCTACCTACCTACCTACCTACCTACCTACCTACCTACCTATCTGCCTACCAGTTTCGCTCGTCCAGTCGAATGCAACACGCGCGCATGGCCCGGCCTTTGGATTCGCGTTATTGTTAGTTGCTCGAGTCGGAGAGATAGGGTTAAGGTAAAGGGATCGGGGGATATGCGTGCGCGACAAGTGCCACGGCCTGCGTGAGTGCGTACATGCACGCAGATGCGATGATGCACGCAACCAGCGAGAAACGCACGCGATGCGCTGCTAACTCACCTTCCTTTTTAACGCGCTTCGCGTCCCCTTTTTTTTCTCTCATCGTCGCGTTTATCCGTTTCTTCGAAATTCCCTTCTTTCTTCTGCGCACCTTTGGCCGTTTGCGAAATTTCCGCTCGTCGCGTCGTTTCGCGCGTTTCCAAACGCTCCGGCCGCGAGTCAAAGTCGCGCGCGTGCAACAACCGGTCACGCCGATGCATTCGAACGCGCGTTTGTCGGGGCTAATGCGGAACCGCGCGCGCACTTTCGCGTTAATAGCGACTAACGATCGCCGGAAAGTTGGACAGGAACGGTGAAAGTAATTGGTCCACGCTATATCTGTCAAATACGTCGTCGAAAATTCGAGGAAAAACCGGTTTGGACGCACGCTCGCGAGCGCGCGTCCGCGTGAAAACGTTTGCTCGTACAACTTTGTATCGGAAACAATTCCAGCGACGTTAATTACGCGTACGAGTAGTTTAACGACGATAACCGTATTTAAATGGCCGACTATCCGGACGCGACCCTCGACGAACTCGTTCTTAACGGCGCAGAACCGATTCTCCGGCGTTCCCTCTTGTTCGCGAGCATTGCGTTTCCTAGCTCGAACAAACGAATTTCTTCCAAACTTTCGCGCCGTCGTTCATCCACCGAATATCTCGAGCATCTACTCGTTCCGACCACACCGCCAACTTGTTTCGTTTACCTTCGTCTCGTGCCGTGTCGATGTCCGATGGCCGATGTTCCATGTCAGATGTCCGATGCCCGATGTCGAACCGAGCCACTGGAACGGGGAATAAAAAAAAAAAAAAAAAAAAGGAAAAAGAGTATACTCGGCGATATCGCGACACAGAGCGATATCGAGCGACATTGGAAAGTGGAATCGGTGGAGCGAGATCGATGGAAGACACCCGCTTCCGCTCTTTTTAATCCAACCTTCCGCGCGCTACGTGTCCGGAAACGAGCCGTTTCTTTCCGTTTCTCTTGCCGACTTTTCTCGTTCCTCGCGATTTCCAAGCGTACACCGCCTCGTTGGAAACTCGATCGTTTTCGAATCGTCGCGATTTAATCGTCGGGCTCCTCGCTCGATTCGAAGAATTCTCGATACCGGCGGGTTCCGCGGTGAAAGAGGAAGAACCGAGGGAACTGGGAACGAGTGTGAGAGAGAGAGAGAGAGAGTGCGAGAGAGGGGGAAGAAGAGGGTTTCTCCGGTGAAGTCGTGTTCGGCAATACTTTCTCGAGAGGAGCAATTTTTTTCCGTCCGCGACACGTGTGCGGCAGAGTGTGCGTAAACGCACGGGTATCACTTGCGGATCCAATTTGAGATACGACGCCGGAAGACGCATTGTTCGCGCGGAATAGTACAAATTAACAGATCGGTATCGTGACGGGTGCAATTAACATTGTGTACACTGGCGCGGTGGATTGGCTTTCTTGAAATCTGACGGTTTAATTAGGCGCCACCTTCGTGGCAGATGCGCGCTCGGTTCGATTAATTACCCCCGCCCCTGTATTCGGCTTTGCGTATCGTTTCGGTTCATCTCGCTCGTTTAAATCGACACGCTTAATGGCGATCGGCCCGATGAAAAACAGCGTTTCGCGACCATTTCGTTTTACTCGGAATGGTATTTGTCACTTTCCAGGAGACGACGTATGCTAGATGAGAATTTTTTGCACCGCGCTAACGAGCCACGCGTCCAACCCCGCGTGTCGCGCGAGTTTCGTCTCCGTTTAAAGCGCGTCCGCAAGCGATACTACTACGCCGGCTATATCGACCGAAAACGAAAACGAAAACGAAAACAAAGACGAAAACGAAAACGAACACGAACACGAACACGAACGCTGTGTTTCAGGAACGAGGTCGTCGCCGGTAAACATAGTGGCGACCGCGACCGTAGTCACGGACGAGGCGTTGCTCGCGGACGACGAGGTGGACAACTGCGAAGGCGAGAGCGAAGGGACCGAAAAGTCGACTCAAGAAGAGGACGAAGAAGTCGACGTGGACGTCGAGGAGTGTAGCAGCGTCGACGACGGACCGGTTCACGGCGTGCCGGACGATCTGAGCACGACGTCCTCCACGAGAAAGTGTCAAGACGCGTACAACGAGCACGAACGGAAACATCGGTTGAGGACCAGTTGCAACTCGGACGAGCTACGCGACGTCGAGTGTCATCTCGAAACCAAGGAATTGTGGGACAAATTTAACGACCTCGGCACGGAGATGATCATCACGAAAACGGGCAGGTAAGCGAAAAATGCCGCAAATTCGCGCGCGCGCGCGCGCGCTTGAATCGAGTGGCGCGTTGCGCGCGTGCAGGTGCAACGAAAGAGTGGCAAACTCGGTGGAGAATAGCCGACGTACGGAGAGAAATTAACCGGGATTTCGAGTGGAAATGGCAGAGCGCCATCGGGAAGGGAAGAGGCGAACGTGGAAGAAGACGGGGTGTTTCGTAGCGTTATCTTCCCCGACTGCGAGTAAATCGTTTTCCGCTTATCCGTGTTACTGCTTCGATAATTGCCTCGATTTACTACGCGTGAACAAATTCAAAGCCGTAGCCGAACGAGAGACACGCGTTCGGCTAATAACGGGAAAATAAAAGTTTTTTTCGGCCGCAATTAGGAAACGTCACGCCGTTACGATTCCGGTGGACGGTCGTTAATTATCGCGGCGAGGAAGACCGGTAGCGCGGCGTTACGAACAAAGACCACACGGCTCTAGCTCTCGTAGGCCCCGTGGCGTCCGACGGATACCGGCAAATTGCGACAACGCGAACAAAACGTCCCACTGAACGTACTCGAACTAATGGATTTCATTGACCGACGTTTTACGAGATATTTAAGCGAGTTTTCGGTGTAATTTATCGCGGCAATTTCTGCCTCTGTGTGCATATACCGCTGGTTGGTTGGTTGGCTGGCGTGCGCTCGCGCGCGCGCTCACCACCGCGCTTGCCTTCATTTTTATAGGTATGCTAATAAAGTCGAGGCCGCAGCTGCGCGCGCTCTAAGGATGCGTGACCACGTCGAAATTACGAGATGTTTGCGCGCAAGGGAGACTCGTCTAACGTTGTCCCTTGCCACGCGCTCCCTCTGCGCTTAGCCTTAAAACGACACCGGCTTTTCTTCCTCCTCGCGAGTCTGCCGGTAGCTAATCGTTCGCGTTAATCGTCGCCGGACTAAGAAATAATTGCTCGGAAAACTCCGTTAAACGCTTTCAATTTTCTCAAAACCACCCCTCTACTCGCGGGCTATGAACGCGCGTCTCTTTCGTCGCGGCGAGACGAAATGGAGGAGAAACGGCGCGTTATCGTCGTCTATAATTCGCGGGACACGCGACCGGTCCGTCAGCTCGCGAGCCATCGTCGAAAGGAGAATCGAACGAGACAAACGACTACCGATAACGCGTACCGTGTAATTATAAATTACTCGTCGTGGGCCACGGTTCCCCTCGTTGCCACGACTCGCGCTAGCGAGCACTCGCGATCGTGCGACGGAACTTGGAAACCGATTCGGATGCCCGGCCGCGACTGTGCTTCGAGATGGCGAATTACGGCGACGCGTTACGGAAACCCGTTGTTCCGGATTTCGGAGTGCGCTCTACACCGGGACGCTTCGCGACGCTCGCGACCGATCGTCGAACGCGTAAACGTCGAAACAATCGGTAATTTAAAATATTTCTATATAATTCCAGGGCGTGTCGCTGGCTTTACTTTCTTTCTAGGCACGATCGATATATCAAGAACGCGGCGATGCACGAATAGCGTCGTTAGCACGAGAAACTTGGCACGAAATCCCAGCTGAACGAAAACGTCAGTCTCTCGAGTGACAATACGAATTCGGACCAATCAGGTGGAATTGTCTGGCCCTACGGGGTGCCAGCACCATATACTCCTCTGATTCTTCCTCCTCGAGGACTAGCTCACGGGGTCTCTTTTTTCCCACGTTGGCACCCGCCAGCGTTTGCTTTCTCTCTCCCTCCCTCCCTCCCTCCCTCTCTCTCTCTTTCTCAACCTCTCTTCGTATTTCCCTCTTTTCTTCCTTTCGTCCCTCCGTCGTCTTTTTCTTCGAGTTGTCGTTCTCTTCTCCGCGAGTTGGCCTCGATTTCGATATCGCGAACAAAGCCAATTTCGTGCGTGCAAAGTCGAACGTCGTTATTGCCGTGGAAAAGAAGAAAGTTGAAATCTCTCTCTCTCTCTCTCTCTCTTTCTCTCCGTGTGTGTCGAGTCGGCGAACGAAGGACTCGGGCTCCTTCTAGAGCCGGGGCCGCCGTTCTTTTGTCTCGTCCCCTATAATCAACGAGTTTTCGCCGATCCTCGTTTCACCTGACCCGATAACGAACCCTTATCTTCTTTTTATTTACCGCTAAACCGATACGCCGTGGCCTGTTGCGATGTCATCGTGGAAAATAAAAGGATGCCAGGGTGTGTTCGTACGGGAAACGGGTTCGGTGGCTTTGGCGTACGCGCGCGAGTCGCGTCTGTCCGACGCAACGGTTCGTAAAGTCACGGCAAAGGTAGCGAACGTCGAACGGCTGTTCGCAGTCGCGACGAGTGTATATTTTTCAAAGTTTAAGTAGGTAAGCGTGGACTGCGAAGCAGCGCGTAGAATAGGAGGTGTGGACGAGCAGGTCAGCGGAGAGCGAGACAGGATACCGGCGGATAGAGGGTACTCGTCACGCGAACCCTTCATCAAGGTGCCAGCAACCTACATTATACACTCACACGTGCCCCGACCGGTAGGGTGAACGTGCACGTTACGCGAGAACGTGCACGGATCGCGAAACACGACACACGGAACAACCAAAGGAATGAAAAGACGATAGAGGAACCGAGAGAAAGAGGGCGAGGGCGAGAGAGACACGGTGACGCGGAGAAAAGGAGAAAGCGAGCGTGCGAGCGAACCAACGAACCAACGAACCAACGAAGAAACGAGCGAGTCCCGGGTAAACGTCTATTTATCCCTGTTATCAGAAAGGAGAAAGCGAGCGTGCGAGCGAACCAACGAACCAACGAAGAAACGAGCGAGTCCCGGGTAAACGTCTATTTATCCCTGTTATCCCGAGCGCGAATAAGTCGATAGGAATTTTGCGCGAAACGACGAGCGAGAAAGCAGAGAAAATACGGTGCCGGTCGATTGGTCGGGAAACGACTCGTCGCGCGATACGAATATCTTATCGGCGGAGAAGCAAAGGTCGACAGCGAGCTAATTATCGCACGATCGACGGTGAATCGAGCTGGCCGGCTCGGGATCGTGGAATAGCTACATAGGTAGGACGCGGAAAGAGCCAGGACATAATTATAACAGGGACAACACCTGGCGGTGCGTTGCGAAGTCGTTAGCTCGGCAAACATTTAAGTAACTCGGATGGCCTTTCGGATCGCTATAATATCCAGTGCTTCCGTAATCCATTTGTAGCAGCCCTTCCGCCAGTGGTTCTGTCCTCGGGGCTGATGGCTTCTCCGACCGCTCTCTCCACCCCTGAAACGCGTATACGACGCTACTCCCGCTACGGACAAACCAGCCAAACGTATATACGTATGCGTCTGCACGTATACGCGCGTACGCGTATATTTCCAGTCTGTTGGGGTGCTTTGGGGTCGAGGTGTTCCTGCGATTATGGGCTCGTTAGCCACGGCCCATGGAGGGCTTGTTTGTTTCTGCCTAATTTGACAGGGAAATACACGATACAACCGGAGACAGCAATGGCGAAGCCACGAGAACGAGAGAGGAACAGAGCGCGAACCGATTTTTCTCCGTTCGATCGCGCCAATCGCTTCGGTCCTCTGCAATTTTCCGCCGATTTTGCTCCACCAAGCTGCACACGGATGGCGTGGAAAATGAAATAAAAGCATCGACATCGCGCGCCACGTTGCGTTACGCGCACGGTCGTTGGTAATTTGGGAAATTTACACGCGAAGCGAACGTTGGAGAGGGTGACGAATCGACGACTCGTGCGTCGTGATTCTCTATAAAGATAAGGGCAATCGTGTTCGCGCGAGATATACACGGGGGTTGTTAGGGAGGCGTAACGCGAAACGGGGACTCGCGACCAAGGACGGAGGGAACGCTAGATCGACTTACTATCGATGCTTAATAGTCGTTTCGATGTATTCCGACTTTAGCCTCTCGAGTACAGGGGAGACGACCCTTCGAGGCGGTTCATTTTCTACGTGATACATTACATCGCGATTCGATGGAAATTCGCATCGAGGGAGCGTAGTGGTATAGCAGCGTCTCGGTAGAAACAGAAGCGGCGGTCTCCTTCTTCTCTCTTCGCGCGTGTCCCTTTTCTCGATGGAGCCTCTTGGTCGACTCGGAAGCGCGCGAACGTGGATGCTGGCAGTTGAAAAGGTGCCTAACGAGATTAGTTTTCGGGGCCGACGAAAAGAACGCGATATCTCGTGCGACGTGCGCGTTGCTCGTTGTCGCGATCGTGGCGTGGAAGAGAAGTGGCATCGAGAAAGCTTGTTCATCCGTGAATCGATCTTTGCGGTTGCTGACTTTCAAGCGATTGCGGTATTTGCGGCATCTGCGGTCTCGAGGCTGCAACCGATCGACCGTCGTTCAATGAGCGCGCACGATTTGTCTCGTTCGCGTGCTTTTCAACGCGATCGTCGTCATATCCTCCCGATCCGGATCGACCAGGCCTCCTTGGTTCTTCCCTCTCGCGGTGTTCGGACTCGTTAGCTACCACCGGTCTTCGCGCGCGTACCGCTCGATGAGAACAGAGATCGGGACGGATTACAAGGGAACAGTGCCGGACAATTTCCAGCCGAGGATAGCCAGGACTCCGCAAATTTGGCTGGACAAAAATATCTGGTAGGTTGGACTGTGCCTCGCGAATATCGCCAGGAAGAGCAGCAAACCGACGTAAACCACGGTGTTGATCAGACAACAGGAACACGTGGGTACTCTGGTGGTCGATCGGAATACGCGTATCCCACGCGTAGCCATGTTTCGAACCAGAATCGACGCGTCTCCGGTGCGTTGGAAGATGGTCCTAGTTCCCGTGGACATGGATCGGTATCTCGACGTCACCTCGGAAACGATCGTTTCCGTCGTTTGAATCGCCTTCTCGTCCATCGTCTGCGTCGTTTCCTCCTCCGTTGTTTCCCGAGGCGTCACCTCGGCCGTACTCTCGTCTTGCGACGGTTTCGCGTCGTCCGGCTGCCAACGCGTCCACGTTGGCGTTTCCCTCTTCGATCCTCGCCGCGTGTCCGAGCGTTCCTCTATCATCTGCACCTGTACGTCTTCCATGGAACACGGTACGTCTTCGGGCACGTCTTCGGGCACGCGGTCCTTGACGAACACCGACAGCAAGTCCTCTTGACGGAGTCTCGATCGAATACACGGCGGCAATTCTTCCAGGATCGATACGACGCTTTGAACGCAGGTCCTGCGACATACCTTGTTTCGTGGATTGCACGGTCCCGGACATTCCACGAACCGATCGGCCACGTTGCGTCTAGGCGACGTCATCTCGAGATGGCGCGTCGTACAGAACGATGAGTTTAGTAGCAGGATGCAGGGAAATTCGGGAAAGAAAGAGGTCGGGAAAGGTTGGCGTATTCGGGTGCATCGACGTCAACGAAGAGGCGCATCTGTGTCCGGCGCGTGCGCCTCGACGCTGGAGGTGTTGAAAAGTTGACTGCGTATAACGAGGTTCAAGGGTGACTCGCTCGTAACGAAGCTTGAAAGGCCTGCGGGCGCTCCTTTCAATCAAACCGACTAGTTAGACGCGCCTCTGCATTGCATTCTAACTCGAGAACTCACCACGCTTCCAACGAGAATCGGCTTGCCAGGGAACGTCCGGACGCGCGTCACTCCTTTCCTCGTATGCTTTCAGCTTTCCGTTAATTCTCTTCCCCGACCGCGAGCATTTTTCGCCCTCCCCGCGATTAGACCAGGATCTTGGTTATCCGTTCAGGTTAAACGTCGAATTTTCCATCGGTTCGCGCGTGAACGTGTACGAGAGAGAGAGAGAGAGAGAGAGAGAGAATATAGGAGGATAAACGGCAAGTTCAGCCTTGTGCCGCTCTCTAACGGTGTACTCGCGCGCGTGCATGCGCGTGCATAGGCCGGTATGCGTGCACGTACGGGTGTATGCGTGCGCGCGTCCGCGGTATGGCCTTTTGGCGTTTGGAAAGAAGTCGGGTGAAAAGCGTGCGTTGGATTTTTCAGGCGAATGTTCCCGACGTGCCGAGTATCGTTCAGCGGATTAAAATCGGAGGGCAGGTACGCGGTGTTGATGGACATCGTTCCGGTGGACAACAAACGATACCGATACGCGTACCACCGAAGCTGTTGGTTGGTCGCGGGGAAAGCGGATCCTCCGGCGCCGGCGCGGCTCTACGTTCACCCGGACTCGCCGTTTACCGGGGATCAGCTACGAAAGCAGGTGGTCTCGTTCGAGAAGGTCAAGCTGACGAACAACGACATGGACAAGCACGGTCAGGTAAGAAATTTCGCGAGCAACCGCGTAATCGGTCGTTCGTGCACCCTCGTAAACGTGGCATGTGGGTCAAATATCGATCTCGGGAACAATCTACCTCTCTGTTCGGAGCAGCACGCTTCTCGCATTTTTACGACTGTGAAATTCGAACGAAGCTCGCTGCGGCTCGCTCGCGGCCGCAGAGCGGAGACCGCTGCCGGACCGCTGTTGGACCGTGCGGCCGGAAAGGGGCCGCCGCCGGGGCAACGACAGTCGGGTTTAACGCGCGAGCGCGCGGTATTCGGCAAAGTCGCGACGACCGCGCAGCGAGCAGCAGTACCGTAAACAAAACTAGCCAGATATTCGAGTTATTTATCGGTAAATTCACACATTGGCGCGTTCCTTGCGGCGGGGAGCGCGGTGGGTCGAGCGCGGGACGTGCGTGTTTCTCGAAAATAAGACGGAAGATTTAACCAACGACCCGTGCCAACGACGTCGACAATGCTCACGGATTACAGTGTCATTTTTCACCGCTGGAATCGCGCAGTTTCGCTCTGCTTCGAGGCATCGAAGACGTCGTTGACGAGATTTCGGACGTTCGCGCGCACCGAAAATGGCCTCGTAAAACGGATACGCGACGTTACCGGGCACGTAGGCGTGGCGTTATCATCAACACCGCTCGTTAATCGTGGGCGTCGAAGCTGCTAGCCCGTGAAACGTAATATTCCGTCGTCATCCTCGTCACCGTCACCGTCACCGTCGTCGTCCTCGTCCTCGTCCTCGTCCACGTCGTCGTCGTCGCCCTCGTAGCGCGCGCACGCATCCATCTTTCCGCGTACACCGATTCTTCTTCCCTTTTCGTTCCTCTGTCCGAAGCACCGCCACGATGGCACGAGCACGGATACGCGTAGGATCGGATAGAGGATGGGACAAGGAGAGAAATGCGGAGGAATTGGGCGAAATGGATAGTAGCGACGCGGTTAGGTCGTTCGAAAGGAAAATCGACGTGGCGCGCAGAGCTCGGCTCGTGGAATCGAGACTGTTTCGTCGCGGATCGTTGAGATATCGTGGTTTGCCCGTGGAAGTTAACATCGTAAAAAGTATAACTGTATGGCGAAAAGAGAGTAACGCGGAAAAAGAGCAGCGTAGATCCGGAGAGAGGCGAGAGAAGTAAACGAGGGTCGCGCGAACCGTCCACTCGCGGACTGGCCATAATGTTACGAGCATTATAGGCGGTTGGTGGTGGTGTCTGTCGTAGGTGGTGTGTATAGTAGGCACGACGGCATGCCTATAAGCTAATAAATTGAATGGATGTTTGCCCGGAGCTTTTGTCATGATGATCACGAGTAGCCCACGCCTGGCCTGTTGAGCACCTTTTGAATCTCTCTCCGCAGCCTGTTCCCGTCTCTCGTGCGCGCCCTCTCCTCCTCGAGAACCTCGTGCTCCTTCCCGACACTTTCTTTCCTCCGCGCGCACCTTCGTTCATCCGTGTTACGTTCCGGTTCGCGTCCTACCGTTCCCTTCCGTTCCCTTCCGTTCCCTTCCGTTCCCTTCCGTTTTAATCTTTATCCTTGCGCGATATCGCGCATCGACGTTTACAGACTCGCGCCGGGCACGATAGCCGGCTCTCGACTACGCTTCCTCCTCGACCGCGCGGAACGACGAGCGTGGTTGCACACCGGACGAAGGTGTACGCGCGCGTCTCGATCTAGCCTAATTAGACGTTCGTTAACACCGACTTCTGACGCCACTTTACAACTTTGCGACGTCTCGATAGTCATCTGTTTCGCCCTCGTGTGTTCAACAAGGGTGATCCGCGGGACGGTCGGTCGGTCGGTCGTGGACGACGATCCGATTCCTCCGAGGATTCCGTCCTCCAGCCCGGATAGCATCGTAGTAGCGCGTGCTGGCCGTGGACATACGTAGGTACATCTCGAAAAATGCATTTTTCAACGGACAACTCGCGTATATATGCCGTGAAACGTTGACGCATAAAGGATGGGTATACGTAGGTGAATATACATGTAAAGCATGGTCGAGAGGAAGTGTGCGAAGGAAAGGAGCGGGGTAAAAGAAGGAAGGAAAGGAAGAAGGAAAGAAAGAAAGAAAGAAAGAAAGAAAGAAAGAAAGAAAGAAAGAAAGAAAGAAAGAAAGAGGGGGAAAAAAGGCTAGGCAGGCGAGTGTCGAGGAACAGACACACCGGTTAAAAGCAGTCGTGGTGAGCGGAGTCGAGCCGGGAGAGCCGGGAGAGCTGGGAGAGCCACGCAACGCCAGTCAACTCAACTCGACGACTCAAGTGGTAGGGAACATTCCTTCGCTACGGCCACTATTTCATCGTTTCGTATGACGCGATATTATAAGACCCCCGCCTGCGTGTTGGCTACTACACGGTGGTCCAAAAGCAAGCATCCACCTGCGTCCACGAGTCCTCTTCTACGATACCTGCGGGGAGGCGCGTTTCCCGCGCTCGTCTCCCGCCACTATTCCCGGATGCTGGCCACTAGGCTCTTCGATCCACCGATATCCTTCTCTCCTGTAAATCTGAATTACGTCGCAACGGTACACGAGCCTCGGTACCGAGCAACGGCGATGCTTTTTGGGACGACCGCGATACAAAGTCGAGGAGAGCGAACGCGCGAGAGAAGATCGAGTTTAACTCGACGAGTCCCGAGCCTCTGCCTCTTTCTTCTTTTCTTCTTTTCTTCTTTTCTTCTTTTCTTCTTTTCCTTTTTCCTCTCTTTTTCATTTTCATTCCTCCTCGATCGAGGATCCGTGCCTCGAGGAGCAAAGGAAGAAACGACCACGACGAAAACACCCCGCGATCAAATTCTTGCGTCTCCTCGTCGTCGATGCTCCAACTCGCGCGCGCGCGCAACGAAACGCGTAACGAGCTAAAAACTGCGCTTTTGTTCGCGCGACCTAACCGCGAAATATTTACCGCGACTGCGAAGAACGCGAGAACGAGACGCGCGTTGCAATCGAAAGATATTAATAATTTCTTAACGTTGCGCGCTCGTGTAGCGCCAGGGCTTACCAGGAAGCAGCTTTGGTCAGCCATAACGTCGAGATTAAAAATGATTTACGATACGCGGAATGGGGGGCAGCGGGCAGGATGGCGAATATTCGATCGGGATTTATGGCGTAATCGACTAAACGGCAGATCTAATAGAAAGGCGCGACTAATACGGGTCGATTCGATGAAAGCGTAAAGCTCGTTATCATCGTCGTTATTACCTCTCGGTAGCGAGTAAATCGTTGCAATCGGCCGAACCGTGTGATTTTCGCGGGAGAGTTACACCGGTTTTTTCGCCACTCGAGGCAAAACATCTGGACGACCGTGCGTCGCGTCGGTGAACGCGAGAGAAAACGCAAGGTAGAAAGTTCCGTGTTCCGTTTGTTCCGTTCGACCGAAAAATTCCGGTCTAAAGGGACAAAGGTGGCGTTTAAAATCGGCAGAGAAACGAAGGAACGTGGTCTACGTTGAATCCGATACGTGGCTCCTTGGAAAACGACGATTCTCACGATCACGCGCGGAATGTCCTTTAGGCTGACGCCAGGTATCGAGTTTCGCGTCTCGGCTCCCTGTAGAAGTATCCAAAGGAGTAGAAATGAAGCGACGGGAAGGGTTGATAAATTAAAGGAAAAGTTACGCGGACGCGCTATTTTATCCGTGTGCCTGGCTGCCGTGTATGCGCACGCTCGTACACGGGGTGTGTCCTTGCAAACGCGTAAACGCAGATTCTCGCGAGATTACAGCGACGAAAAGAAAAGAAAGGAAAAGGAAAAGGAAAAGGAAAAGGAAAAGGAAAAGGAAAAAGGACGATGCAAAGAGGATACGAGCGGATAAAACGAAACGATTATCCCTGGCAAAAGACACGTCGAGACGGTTTCGAAACGAAGAGAAAAGAAAGGCGGAGGAAAAGGAAAAGGAAAAGGAAAAGGAAAAAGGACGATGCAAAGACGGTACGAGCGGATAAAACGAAACGATTATCCCTGGCAAAAGACACGTCGAGACGGTTTCGAAACGATTGCTTAAAAAATGAGAGTGGAAATAAAAAGTAGGAGAGGTGGCTTACGCGAATGGCGAATCGTGCCACGTACGCGTTCGGTGGCATCCACACTAGTCGAGTGAACAGAGTAGAGCAAATTGGAGTTCTGACAGGTTGCAGTGGGGTGTCCCACTATCCAACGGTGCAGAGAAAACGGATAGGGGCACCCCGGGATCCCAGACACCTATAATCGTACGGGCATAAAGTTGCCCGCTTGGAAACCTCTCCACGGTGCACGGTCTACGGTGCACGGTCCACACGGGGCCGCGCAGCGTACTCGTTATCCGGACTCGAATTAAATTCGAGACCTTTTCCTTTTTCTCCGTCATCGAGAACAATCTTGCAACCGAAGGACGGGACACCGTGCGGTGCGATATCCAGAATATAACGTCGCTCGTTTAACGTTATTCGTCCTTGCACCATCGTGCGACGCGACGAATGAAAAATTTATAAGCCGTTGCATAATCGTAAATGACAACGCTAGGATATCAACGACGCGTTCTCCGCCTCTCGCAGATATACCGAATCGTTCGTTTCCATTTTTTCTCTCTCTCTCTCTCTCTCTCTTTTCCCTTCTTTTCCTACCTTTCCTTCCTTTTCTTCGAGTGTCGCAACCGAGGGGGGGAATAATGCGCGTAAAACTCGCCTTGAAGAAGACGTTTCGTGGTCGTCGCGAGGTGTTTTCAGCGCGAGCGTTTGTAAACGCGACAACGCGATTCGACAACAACACGAGCGACGATAATTCCACGCGGAATGGTATCGATATAGCGGTAAAAATAAATAGTCACGTAAAGGAGCGTTGCGAAAGAGAAGGAAACGGTTCGTGGCCAACTCGGGGATATTAATTTCATGGTATACTGTTGCGTTATAAAAATAAATTACGAGCGAGAAACGAGCCGCGTCGCGGCTGCCGGATTAAGTAACGAAACGTTCCGAGGACATTTCCATCCGGACCCGGTCGCCGTCCTCGTCGTTGCCGTTGCCATCGCGGTCGTGGAAGAAGGTTCGTTCTCCCGACCGACAGCTATCGGTCGTCCACGCGGTATCGCGGTCGAGCGAGAGAGCCCCATGGAAGGAGAAAAACGACTATAAATCGCACATGTAATACCGCTATCAACGTACATTACATGGATGCCGCGTTGTTTGATAAATCGCTAGATGCAAATTGCGTGCGCGTCCGACGATGAGAGTGGATTGGATTCGGTTTCTCGACTATACGCGATTAGCGTATAATCGGTGTATACCGACCGCTATTTACCGCGACAATTTCGATTTATCGGGCCAACGTAAACGCGCGCGCGAGAGAGAGAGAGAGAGTATACACGCGCATCCTAGAAATACCCAACGAACGTACCATACGTTCTTGGCCGGTTGCTTCGCCGGTTGCTTCGCCGGTTACGATAACGGTAATAACGATATCACGCGATAGAAACTGCCTTTCCGCCGGCGACGCCAACGGAATACGCGTAATCGCGACAATAACGTTAACGTCGCGTTAACGTATCGCCAAACAGAGAGAAATAGAGAGAGAATAAAAAGAGGCGCGCGAGAAACACGCGTCAGCTTAATAAGCTCGAGTCACCGAGTCACGCTCTGGACGCCGCGCGGCGAAAAGGTACGCGTATAGGTTATAACCGTCCGTTCTTCGGCTACTGTCCATTACTGCTCGGCTATCCGCGCGAAATTTAGACGTTTACTCGATTATCGAACCGCGCGATAACGACTCGTCGCGATTCGCGCGTGTGTCCTTTTTTCGCCATCTCGGCTATCTATATACGTGCTCGCGTAGACGCACCGCGTTCTGCCGGCGCGTACACTCGCGTCGGAGAGAACGTCTGGTGGCGCGTCAACGCGCGATGCCAGCCAAAGATACCCGAGATATATTTTCAGCGATAATCTCGTCGCTAATAAAAATTCCGCTTAATAACGCATCCCCGAGGATACGCGATGTCGTAAGATTCGCGACGATTCTCGCTCTTAATAACGAGCTCGGTCGTTTTCTACGCGATAGCCGCCGCGACATGGAGCCACGACTACCACGACGACCGAACGTGTGACACTCGGGACGATGTAGGTCGCGATTTAGGCGCGTCCTTTTAGCCGGGGCTGATAGCCGTAACCTCGTGGGAGGCAGACGACACGCGTGTCGCGTGATCGCGGACGAACGCGAACGGGTTGATCGATCGGGGTTGGCGAACCGCGGAATTATCGATCGGAGGGAAAGATCGAGGAAAAGCGGGACGTGTACGTGGACGGAGGTAGGTCGCGGCGAGAACGCGATCTACGTGGAAAATTCGAGTTTGTGCACGAAAGTCGCAATTGTGTCGAGAAAATGGCAGCGTGTTCGAGCAACGTTGATGTATCTAGAACGTTTGAAAGGCGCGAGTTGCGCGATATCTACGCGAGAAACTTGTTTCATCGTGGCACATTGTTTGAGACAGGAAATCGATACGCAACTTCTCCGGTTCCATCGGCTATAGCTCGCCTGTTCCCGGGCTAGCGTTAAAGCTCGCCGGAGGGAAATAAATGGACGCGTGGCCGAAGGGGGTTTAAGACGCGCAGAGCGAAGAGATGTCGCAAATTCGCTCGCGATCCCGTCGAAATAGCGACACTCGTATCGATCGCGAATCTCGCTTCGCTCGTACTCTCCCTCTTAAAGTATCCCCTCGAAAGACACTCGTGTGGTACCTGTTGCGAGAGCGGGACGACGACTCGCGGTTAAAACGAAATCTAGCTGCACGGATGCACCGGGATTCTCGCGTGATATTATTTCCGTCCCGTTATCGATTATTAGATAAGTAGCGATAAGTGGCGAGAAAGATGACAGGCCGGCTTGAGCGGGCGCTGGCGCGCGCACTCGCGAGCCGCGTGGCCGTTTATAAAACTTACCGGCCGTCGTCGCCTATTAACGTTCGAAACGCGAACAGGATTTATACGACGACGCTTCCAGTTATTTCCGAGACTTTAATTAAGACTTTATAAATCATCGCGCGTGTACCCTCGCTCTCAGCGTTTTCCTCTTCTATTTTCAGATCGTTCTGAACTCGATGCACAGATATCAACCGAGGATACATTTGGTACGGTGTCGACAAACGGACGACAACAATCTTCGCATAACGGACCTTCAGAAGGAGGAGCACAAAACGTTCATATTCCCCGAGGCAATTTTCACCGCGGTGACGGCCTACCAGAATCAGTTGGTGAGTAGTTTCTCGCGATTCGATCGGAAACTCGACTAATTTCGTAACACGCGCTCGCACAGCCGTGTTCGCCGACACCGTAACGAACGCGCGCGCCAACGCCACCTTTCTTATCGCGAAATTAGTCCAGTTTCTTCGCGCGCTCGTGATCGCAGCGCGTTGATCGCAGAAGCGATCGCAGCGTTGATCGCGCGATTACGAATGCGAGCGTAATTACCGAGCGCGCCGATAATGTTGCAGATAACCAAGCTGAAGATCGACAGCAACCCGTTCGCCAAAGGTTTCCGAGACTCGTCGAGGCTGACGGATTTCGATCGGTAGGTAGAGTGGAAGAAAATACGCACCGAATAAAACGCGTGGTACTTTTGTTCGGCAATCGCCAGCACGGTGGATCGATTCGTTTCGCGCATATCTCGGAGAGCCGCGACGTTCTCCGAGCGCCGTTTCGTTTCGTTTCGTTTCGTTTCGTTTCGTTTCGTTTCGTGCCGAGCGAGCGAGCGAGCGAACGAACGAACGATCATTACGCGCCATTATAACGTCGGCACCTTAATCATCGTGCCGGCCGAATTATCGCGCGATCTTTTAGATCTCGTTAAAAGTGGAAATTTATACAACGCTAAATGTCGAAGGAGAGGCACGTTTGATCCCGAATAAGCGTGCACACGGACGCTCGATTCCGAGTTATCCGCGATCATCTATCTACGTGAATGACGATGCACCTGCTCTTGCGTTCGTTCGTTCGTTCGCTCGCTCGCTCGCTCGCTCGCTCGCCCGCCGCCTCCTCCTCCTCGCTTTCTCTCCTATCCTCTCGGCGTTTACGGCCGGGGCGTATACACGCGTGACCGCCACCTCCTCCTCCTCGCTTTCTCTCCTATCCTCTCGGCGTTTACGGCCGGGGCGTATACACGCGTGACAGAAAAGAACTTTTTCACCGTCCGCGTGCGCGCGCGCGCGCGCTGCGTCAAAGGATTATCGTTAACAGCGACAAAGTAACGTTCCAATAACCCGCGTTACCATTAATCTTGGCAGATGGACGCCATCTCGTTATCAGCCTTTACGTTCGTCGGCCAACAAACGATCTCGATTAATCGCAATTTCCTCGCTACCCTACCCCGCTTTCTCCCCGCCTTCCACTTTCTTTCCGCGTCCGCTTCCGATCCGCTTGCCACGCCGCGCGATTCTTCTCCCTAGTTTGTACGCGAACGCGTCCACGCGACGAATCGTTGAATCCGCGGATCGCGCTGGCAAACGGCGACCTATACGCGCGTATATGCGCGTATACGCACGTATACCGGGAGAATCGATAACGGCTACCCAATAAAGTCGTCTCGTCTCCGGTCGCGCGCTACCGCCGAACAGCCGTGCCTTCCGCTCGCGAAACATCGAGCCTCGGACGCATTCGCTTAGCTACGCTCGGGTATTTATTTTTTCCTCGCCTCGCGCCACCTCGCCTCGAATCGCCTGGAATCGCATCCGATCGCATCGGCCCGGCGTGTCGCGCCGTCTGCGGCACACCTGCTCCGGGGTTCGTGCAAACGACGCGATTAAATAATTTGTTCGCTCGTAATGGAGTAATAATTAAAAGATTTTAGGGCCGCCGAAACTTTGCCGATCTAATTAAAAAAGTCATTACCGCTGGCCAGATAGACGGCCCCGCGTTATTACGAGTTCCCGCTCCAGATTTCCACGCGTTCTCTTTCTTCGCGACGTCGCGACGCCGCGACTCGCGAGGACGAACCAGAACGAGAGAAAGATGAGAGAGAGAGAGAGAGAGAGAGAGAGGATCGGTTGGAAGGATCGCGAACGAATCGAAGATGGGAACAAAGCACGAAGGCTCGAGTCACGAGAGAACTATGCCTGACAGGCTTTCTCGTTCTCTCGGAACGAGCGTACGGTCCGGCGGTAATCACGTGCAAATCGGAGGCGTGTCGAGGCTCAACCGGAAAGTCCTTCTCTCCGCTAATGCGTTCGACGCGATCTTTGACGCGCTTCCGAGAATGGCAGGCGGTGGCGTTTAGAAAATTTGGGAGATTCGAAGCGAGCGCGCCGCGTCGTCGCGTTCCACGATGCAGGGACAAATTCCTCGCGCTGAACCCTCGCGTCGAGAAAGATTGGACGAAATCGCATCGCGGTCCACCGCGCGATCGACCACGCTTTAATGACACGGCAGTTTGGAGAGGACGATCGTTTGGAAATCACAGTCCGGTCTAACGCGACCCTCCTCAAATCAGCACCTGCCTAACCGAGATCACGAAAAATCTTGCTCCGTCATTCGATCGTGCCTGGCCCGTTCACGGCGCGGAGGCCTCTTCAACGATCCTCGTGGTAGTCTCGGGGTCTCGCGGAGAGGAACTGGCGATTTCCCGACGGTATAGGGAAGCGAGGAAAGAAAAGAAAGAGGGAAACGGTGGCGTACGTCGGGGACATTGGCGAGAATATTCGTGAAAGGTATCGCCGGCGATAAGGAAGGGCGTGTGTAAGATGGAAGAAAAGGATCGGCGGTGCGCGCGATGCGGCGCGGTACGGCGCAGCGGTTACGGCAGTCGTGTTCGGCTGCACGGATGCGGCTCTGGCGGCGTCCGGAGTTAATGAGAGAGCGGCCGTACGGGGCAATACGGCGCATGCTCCCGCCCACTTCACGCCGCCGCTGATAGATAGATGCCCCTTCGGCCCTTTCCCCCTCTCTCCTTCTCGCACCCTCAGCCTCGTCCTCACCCTCACCCTCACTCTCACCCACCCTCTTGCCCCTCGCTCGCTCTCTCGCTAGCTCGCTAGCTCGCGAGCTCACCCCGCTCTCACTCTCCTCCCTATCCCAATTCGCTCTTCCTCTTTCCTGCCTACCCCTACCACCCCTCCTCGCCCATTTCCTCTCGCTCTCCCGTTGCCCCTCTGCAACCGCTCTGGTACCCCGTTCTTCTTTCTCCCTCGCCCCGCCGCCATCCTCGTGTCCGCGTTGGCATACGTGGCCGCAAAAAGCCCCGAAATCGTTCTTATAAAGATATTACGGTAACTGCGAAAATTTAAGAACCATTTATAAAAACGTGGCTGCTCGATGCCGCGCGCGTCTCGCCTCGCCCTGCTTCGCCGTGCCTCGTCTGGTCTCGTCTCGCTCCGTCTGACCTTGCCTCGCAGGTTCAAATTTACGGCCAGCTGCCGCGAGAAACTCGAAATTGCCTGAACGCCGGCAGAGACGTTGGTGAAAAACGCCGGAGAGACCACGAACGAGAAACGCCGCTCCGACTCGCGCAAAGGGGATGACGGCCTGCCGCCGTGTGTGCGTGGATCGTACAGTAGAGCCTCTCTATCGCGTCTCTCGCGTCCACTAGCAAAATCAACCACGCTTTCGCGGCATTCTCTCGACGAAAGGGGCGAAATCGGTGGATTCGTCGTCGTCGTCGTCCTCGTCCTCGTCGTCGTTTGCCGAAAGCCGAAAGTGGAAAAGAAGAAGAAGAGGAGGAGGGTCGGTGGACGTTGTCGGCGAGGATACCTCGGCGAAGGAGAAGAGAAGGGAAAGAGCGATTCCACGTTCTTCACTCCGCTGGTTCCGGAGGGCAAGGAGGGCAGGGCATTCATCTATATTAGCTTCGAGAGCGGACGGCCTGTCATTACCGCTGCCGCTCTGGCCTTCTTCTTCCTCTTTTTCCTCTGGCAAACTCTCGACTTTCCTTTTCTCTCTTTCCCGCGCGTTTCTCTCTCTCTCCCTCCTCTCTCTCTCTCTCTCTCTCTCTCTCTTGCTCTCTTGCTCTCTCCCTCTCTCGAAGGTCCTCGAGCAAGAGGAACATCACCCTGCCTCGTTCCTCCGTTTCGCGTCCACCGACAGAACTAGCAGCATCAACCCTCGGCAACTTGGACAGCTCTAACCGATACCCAAAGTCCTCCATCGCTCTGGCCCATTAGCCGGCCGCATTACCAAACTGCCAGATGGACGGACGAGGACGGAGAAGGAACGCGCGTTGGTGAGCAACGCAGACGGAGGAAGAAAGGACGAAGGAAGAAGCTTCGGTGGCCAGAGAACGCCGCGGAGCTAATAACCGCCGTTTAAAACGCAAAAACAAAGGTCTCGGCGTGCATCGTTCGGCGGATTCTAGTGAGAAAAGAGAAAGAGAGAGAGAGAGAGAGAGAAAGAGAGAGAGAGAAAGGTGGTTGTAAGCACTACGTCGACGACGACGACGACGACGACGACAAGGACTGTGAGGAAAAAAGGACGAAGAGGAAGAGGAAGGCGTCGATGCGGGAGTAATGGGGACAAGAGGCGGGCCGAGGAACGGAGAAGAGAGAGAATAAAGGAAGGTGGAGAAACGTTGGACGAGTACTAGCTGCGCCGACGCGTATATCGGCTGGCTATCCAACGCGTCAGGGTCATTACCGGATCATTACCTTCCATACCTACCGTGCGACGACGATGATGGGCCGGCTTGCGAGCACCGAGAGAGGAGTCGAAAGAGTGTCGGCCTCGCAGCGGTACGCGCGATCCTCTGCTCGCTGCAAAGCGACCGAGGAGAGACCACTCACACTCGCGAGCTACTCGCCGTACGCGGCTTCCACGTACGATCGCTCGGTACGCACACCTAGACCGCCACGGCTCGTACCTGTGTGACTCACACCGAACCGGCTCGATCGCGCGTCGGACCGCTCGGCGGCAGCCGGGTAAATTACAGGCTCGACCGTATTTTGCGTTGTTTTGTTGTTTTTCAACGCGCCGAAAGGAAATGAGCGAGCAAACGCGTCACGCCACCCCGAACCTGCTAATTTCTATTCATATTTTATGGCTATTAATTTCTTCACTGTTACACTCGCTCTTTCTCTGCCCATTTCTCCCTTTCTTTCTTTCCTTCTTCGCGCGCTCTGCGAGCTTCGCCCCGACTTCTTTTCGAATCTTCTTACCCGTATTTCAGTGCGATCGCTCGGTCGTTTCTCATTTACCCTTCTTCTTTTTCTCCCGCTCCGTTCTTAAGCTTCCCCTCCCCCTCCCCCCCCCATTCCATCCCCGGCTTTTTCTCTCGCTTTCCCGACTCGCTCTCCTCCATTCCGTGCATTCCGTTTCCTATTTTTTCTCCCGACCGTTACGGTTTCATCCACCTCCGAACCTTCTGCCATTCCCCCGCTTATGCCTGCCTCCACCGATCCATCGATCGTCGTCGTCGTCGTCGTCGTCGTCGAAATTCCATCGAAGACAGAGCCGCGTCTTTTGAATCTTTTTCGTTTACGGGATGCGTGCGATAGTAACCGAGGCGAGCAGAGAAAAACAGAGGAAGAAACAGAGAGCGGGGAGAACGAGAAAGAGAGCGAGGCAGCGTCGCTCGATGAACTACCTTCGACCATCAGTGGGGTGTAACCTATTATTATCTACCACTTACCTAATGCCCTGTGTCAGCCTCGGGGTAGGCGGAGAATAACAGGCTCCTCATTCGATGCAATCCCCTCCGCGCGCTAATATCGCGAGCTCCGTTAAAACGCTTCGGCGTTTTACGCGGCGGCATCGAAAGCACGCTCGCGCCTACCGGAAACGCCTCGATATCGACTCGCGTTTTCGCGATCTCCGAACCACCACGCATTTCTATCGTTCGCCGAGCAACGATCACGACCACGACGACACGCGCGTGTCTCGTCGAGCAAATAAAATAGGTTCGCGTGAGAAAGGACGGAATAGAACGGTGGTGGAGGTTTCTGTTCGTAGCGATCGGCTCTTTCCGTCGTCGCTACGTCGGTTCGCCAAGCCAGAACGAGAAACCACGCGAAGCGAGGACTTTGCTCTGGTCGACGAATCGCGGAGACGGAAGAAAACCTCGCGTTCTCGATACTCGGTGGAGGATCGCGAGAAAGAGAGAGAGAGAAGGGAATAAAAGTGGCGATCGGTAAAGGCGATCGAAATATCGGATCGTTGTTTATAGATCGGCGATCCTCGAAGGGCGTAGCCGCGGACGTCGTGGACACTTTAATGGGTAACAGCGGTGGCCTCTAATTAGAACGTTTCGAGCGTAACCGCGCCATTACGGGGAAAACGCAGACTCGTCAGATCGACGAGGAATATTTATTGCTCGGTGTAACAATTACAGGAGGGTCGGCATAGCACGAATAGTAATAGGCGACCGCCTCGGGCCGCTCTCTCGTCCTGGCGAACGACTGTAATTAGGGCTTTTATTGTCTGTACATAAGGAAGCTTTATGAAAACATTAAGGATATAATTCAAGGCCGGGAGGCTACAGCGCGTCGTGAATTGCAACCAGGGTTAATGCGTATAGAGACTCTCTGCTGCGTCATTTCCGCTTTGCGTACACAGGTGCAAAGCTAGCTGCGCGCACGCACGCACCCACCCATACACGCACACGCGCGTATCCGTGACTCTCCGTACCGACGCGCGACGCTCCTCTGCCTCCGCTAAACGCTCGCGAGTCGCGCTCTCTTCGTACCGATGGAATCGCCGCGATCGTACGTGACGACTAATAGAGTTCGGCCGTTTGACAGCGATATTTCAAAGGAACGAGAAGAGGAATGGCCGTGGACGCGGCGGTGTGTGGTCCGACACGTTCGAGCGGACGGCGATTAGCCCCGGGCCCCCCCCTAATCCCTCGCCTTTTTCAGCCGGGACTCGTTTCGTCGGGCCCTTCGCTCTTTCGCGCGCTCCTCTTCCTCTTTTCCTTCCTTCCTCCGTCTCTCTCTCTCTCCTTCTCGCCCCATCGCCCTATCGCTCTCTCGTCGGAAACGTCTCAAACCCGAACGCGTCTTCCTCCTCGTCTTCCTCGTTCCAGACCGGAGAAAGCCCGTTGTCGTCGTCGTCGTCGTCGTCGTCGTCGTCGTCGTCGTCGTATCGGGAATCGTAGGCACGGTAGCCGCTTCGACGCGAACGCTACCTTCCGGTGGTCCGCAATCCGCCGTACCACGCGAATCTCCCGAACACGCCGCCACCTTCTTCCAGTTTCTCCGCGTCCTTTGGTGTCGCGTTACGCGCTAAGCGGCACAGTCGACCGGTAACCGAGACGCGCAAATTCCTCTCTTTCGCTCTTTACGCCCTTTTGCTCGTAGACGCACGACTCTCGCGGTCGCCTACTATCGCGAGTAGTCCTCGCGGGATCGGCGGATTCGGCGGATTCGGCGACGATTGTGGCAAAATGACGAGGCGCCGGGTGGCAAGCGTGAAAGAGAAACTCTCCAGACGTCTGGAGGTTTCTCGGGCTTTCGAGGAACCGGATGATCGATAGGAGGTATCATCGTCGAGCAGACCGCGGTGAAATTATCCGACGAGGTCGGACTAGCCGCTGCCACCGGTGCCGCCGGTGTCAGGTTTTCTTTCGACCACTCGACGTAGGTTCTGTCGAGCCTACCGAACTGCGTGCGCCGCACGGACCATCGACCGAGATCGTTTTCTCGGGGATCAACGCGGGTGGGTCCGGGCGCGTCGGGTGGCCGCGACGCAGCAACGACCAACCTCTTGTTTCGAGTGTTCGCGTTCGAACGTTTCGTGGTCGACGTTGCCGGGGAAAAAAGGGCGCGAGAGAGGAAAAGGGGAGAGAACTCGTGGAAACGAGAATAGCGGAGAGAGAACCCTCGTTCCCGTCGTCCCGTCGTCGTTCACGACGGTCACAATGAAGTCTTAATCACCGAGATAGTCTCGGCGATAATCGCACGGTGTTTACGTACCACTCCCGCGCGTAATCACGAAAGTAGGAAATGACGATGCAACGTGTGCACGACTTCGCAATGATACCGACCATTAATTATCGCGAATATCACGCGAACGCCACGAAGGAGACGCCAGCCGTTTTGATCCGCGGCCAGCCAATAATTCGCTCGTTAGCGTCCTGCCAATACGAACGACCGATCGTTCCGCGCGTACAATCGGCCGTAATTAACCCTAATTAAGCTCGCGTCTAATGCACGAAATCATCCATCACGTTACACCGTCGTGGCTCCGAGGTCCGCGGACGTCAATGAGAAAACGTCGTCTTAATTATCCGCCAACCCAGACCTCCTCTTCCATCCGCTTCGTTTCCCCGTTTCCCACTCTCCCGTCTCCCTCGCTCTCTATCCGCGTGAAATCTCATCGATTCATTCCCCTCTAAATGCCACTCGATGCCGATAACGTCGATCGGTTAATCACGAGGACGCGCCTCGCTCCGTTCCGTTCGATCTTATCTCGTGGGCTCGAACACCGGCCTCGCTGGGTTATCTTTGCCGTTTCTTCGCGAGTTTCCACGCGACCAACGTCACCTATCCACGTCGGGCAGCGCCTTCCTACCACGACTAATTTTCCCCGGGATCGTTTCCGTTGCTTTCAGTGACCCGATGGAGCTGATGGAGCAACAACTGGTGCGATGCGGCGTCGCCCCCGTCAGATTGTACGAGCATCTCGCGATGTCGTCGCCGGCAGCGGCTGCAGCGGCCGCGGCCGCAGCTGCGGCGGCAGCAGCCCTCGGTGCCCAGCAGCAGCAGCAGCAGCAGCAACACCATCAACAGACTCAGCAACAGCAACAACAGCAACAGCAGTCGCAGCACGAGAGTTCGGCGCACGCGTTACCACCGTGGATGACACCGTCGACGGCGCTTCTCTACGGAACCGTCGGCCAACCGCATCCCGGAAGCAGAGCCGCCACCGGAACCACGTCTCCGTATCCGACAGCGGCGGCCACCGCGCCGTTCCCCTATCCCGCGGCTCTCCCATGGCCTTGGCAACCGCCACCCCCGGTCGCGATGATCTCGCGAAGATCCTCGCCTCCCACCGCGACAGCCGCCGCCTCCCTTAGGTACACCCCGTATCCTCCTCCCGCGAGCACGCCACCGCCCCTCAGAGCTCGTCCCACTACCCCTAATTAGCGATTCACCGCGGACGCTTATCCATAAGAATCTCCACGCGTAACCTCACCCCGGTCCGTTCCTCGATACCGGACGGAACCACTCGGACAGCGACGGGGGAACGGAAACGCGATGCAGCCAAAGAAGAATCTCTCGAGCCAAGATTTGCAGCGACGTCGCGCAAATCCGTGGATTCTGCTACTACTACTACTTCTACTACTACTAGTACCACTACCACTACCGATACTACTACTACTATTACTGCTACTGCAACTACCGTGTCCAAACGACCGTCTCTCGTGGATCGTCGTTGACATCGCGAAACTCGATTCGCGATACGTTTCCCGCGAGGCGGACGACGTGCGAATGTCGTCGGAAAATTCGCCTCGGTCCGCGTCGTTGGAGTTTTAGGTTTTAGGGAAATGGCCCGTACTCGTTTGCTCTCTGTGTGCGCGTAATGTAACCGTAGACACTTGGTCTTCGTGGCCGGGACGAATTCGACGAGGGGGTGCGACGTCTCTCGACGATCCGCCGCCGCCCCCTCTTTCGCTTCCCGAGTTCCGAGCGAGTTGTAAATAAGCGAGAGAATTAATCACACCGAGTCGATTCGTCGTCGATCGGCGAAGGAAATTTAAGGAGACGGAGACACGAGGTAGACTCGGTTATAGCTGTAATATATACCACGATAGTATTAACGCGTGTTTCCCGCAGACGGTGGTCTTTGTACATAGAATCTTTTATGGTAGCGAGTAGCGTTAACGACGTATTCACGATGTAGCACGAATAGAAATAAACGAATTTTCATTAACACACCCTCTTTTCATATTTTCCACGCGTTACCAACGACGTTTGTCGTTTCTTCGTTGCATCGACCAACCTCCACTTCCTCTCTCGGTACGAAATTTAGACGCGAGGAGGAGGTGGAGAGGAGGAAGAGGAGAAGAAGGAGCCCGCGATCGGTGCAGAAGTAAGCCGGAGAAAAATCGGTCGGAACCGAATCCTCGGTTGCTCGGTTGCCGACCGTTTCCCGAGGCACGTCGGGCTGCTCATCGAGTGGCTCGTCACGCCAGCCAGGCTTCATCGCACCTCCAACTGCCGTGTAATTCTGTTATACCTATCTGAAATTAAATAAATTCATTTCACGGCCTGTCAACGAGCAATTATTTTTAGATGCAGCCACTTTAAGGCCGGTTCGTTCCATGACTAACGCTTCACGACTCACGACTCACGACCCCTCGACCGAACCCAGAAGCACGTCTGGGCTCGCGTATCGCGTATCCCCTGCCGCGTACCCCCGACGCGATTCTCGCCACTCACCGATCGCAAATAACCTTCCGATGCGTCGCGTCGTATCGTCGTCCGGCGTAATTTACGCGTGTGTACCTGCACGCATCGGCCGTATACTCGCGCTCCGAGGCATTTTTCAGCCACGATCTCGTTGCCGCGTAGTACACGGTTCGTACGCTTCGTCTCTCGAAACGCGAATCAAACGTAAATCATCTTTCCGTGTCCTCGAACACGGCGCGGTTACTCGGAGAATAGCGAACCGAGGAAGGAAGGAACGAGAACGAAGGGAAAAAGCGATCGTTCCGGAAGGAACGCGGTGCTCCGTGGGAAAGCATATTTCGCTGTTCCGCGTAATCGAAGGAACATCCGGCGAGTGTGCAGCAGCGTATCGCGAAATCATCGGAGGACACGAAGTGTATCGTGTATCGAGCCGCGTTGGGATCAACGCGTCCCAGTACCGAGATAAGAAGGAAAAGAAGAAGAAGAAGAAGAAGAAGAAGAAGAAGAAGAAGAAGAAGAAGAAGAAGAGGAGAAGGTTTCACCGGGGCGCGAAAGCGATCGTGTGTTACGTCGTGATGGGTGGAGCGAGGTGAGAGAAACAGAGAGGCGGCTCCCGAGCTTGTAATTATGTTGATACGAATGATCTGCGGCTCGCCGCAAACCGACGACGAAGAGAAGAGAGAGAGAGAGAGAGAGAGAGAGAGGGAGAGGCAAAAAGAAGAAGCAAAGGAGAAGATGGAGCACGGGGTGGCGGAGCACGAGGAACGGGAGGTGGAGGAAAAGAAGGAAGAGAAGGAAGAGCGCAGGGGGAGCGGGCGGAAGGGGCGGAGGGGAGATGAAGCCTCTAGCGGTGTTCACCGGCTGCTCTCTACGTAGCCGTTTATCCCGTTCCTCGTCGCTCTTCAGCCAAGGAACCCTGGTTCGCGCGGGCCCTCGCTCTTTCAGCCACACGGACTCCAGACGTTCCCTGCGTGTACCGACCATACGCGTTGCTCATCCCCACGCAACGAGTAAACGGCCTTTAGGACCGTGGCGAAACCAGTTTAAGTGGTTAAGTGTAGATGTAATTGATTTCCATTTTACGAGGCTCTCGGGGAAGACGCTCCACCCGCCACTGCCATCACCACCACCACCACCACCACCACCAACGCCGCCACCACCATCACCACCACCAGCACCATCACCACCATCGTCATCGACATCACCTCCACCGCCGCCGCCGCCGCCGACGCCACGATCGACGCAACGCTATCGATATCATCGACTAACACCACTGCCACCACCGCCGTCGCCGCCGCCACCACAAACACACCCCCACTATAGGTCCTTGGCGAACCGAGTTTGCCTTCTCCGTTCGTATATCCTTTGAACGCATCGATGCGCGTTACGACGTATATACGGGACTCGATCTTGCCGAGTAGAATCGGTTTCCCACGCCTCGTTCCACGCCTGGAACGTCGAACGGCAGAGATACGGTCGAAAAGTTCGCGGTGGCAGTGATACGCGATCGGTCGTTTCATTTTCGCGTGGACGCGTCTCGATGCTCTCTACTCGAGTGTAAATCGAAATTGGCCCGTTGCTGGTGCGCCACACGGCCCATACCACGATGCCGCCGTGATGAATTGGACGAATGAATAATGAATGAGTCACGGGTGCACGAATCCGGGCAGGCAAGCAGCCATCCAACCACCCAACCGGGCCGAGGACCAGCCCGAGGATGTCACGGGACGTGGAAAGGATTTTAATGAAATTCAGTGACAGATGTCCGTCATTCGTAATTCTGCCTCGGATCCGTTCGAATCTTTAATTTACGCGAACCAACCGCCCTTGTCTCCCGTCCCTCTCTCTCTCTCTCTCTCTCTCTCTCTCTCTCGTTCCATCGACGGATCGGCGGCCGGTGCCGCGAACAAAACGGAAACCCGCGAGCAACGTCGATTCCTCCCGTGGAAACGTTCTCGCCGTTACGCGCGAGATAAGCGGGGAAAACGTCGCGTAAATTCAACGATCCCGGTAGAGTTACGATCGATACCTTAATTGCGATCGAACGAGCTCGCTCTCTCTCCCTCACGGTTGGAGCGATGGCAAAGGCTAAGGTAGCGTTAAGAAGCGGCAGCGTTTTTCGGGGAAGGCGAAATCTTTCGTTTCGACGCGTCGCTATCTTACGGAGAACGACGGTTGCGGTGGCGGCTGCGACGGCGGTCGCCGACGAAGCGGGAGAAAATTCCGGAGGGGCGAGCGAGAGTAGTAGACGCGAAACGACGACGCGTCGCAAAAGAAGAAGCGGAAGAAAAAGAAAAGGGGCGACCGTTGCGCGCGGTAACGCGGCAGGGAAGGAGAGAAAATGAGAAAG